GAATAAATCGGAGATGACAATGAATGCAATCGATCCGTAACCTTTTATGAAAACATTTGTACATGTTGGATGGCCCGTACGGGCAAGATTCTTCGTTTTTTGCACTTTTCATTTACACTAAATCGGGTGTCTGACAAGCTAATCTCATGCAACTTTCCTTCGAGAATATTACTTACCAAGTTTAGGAAGTCACCTTTTTGAAAACACATATGACCCCTTAATTAAAAATGTGGGCAAATGAAGGATGTAACCCTTTATTCAACTTCTTTTTCATACTGAAATTAGCATTATGGGGATAAATCCGGAATCATTGGAGGGTATCGATTGAACAAGTTAATAAAGAAAAGAAAATGATCGCCTATCGTATGCGCACTTGACTTTTTTGGACGTACATGAATTGATATTTCCGATATACAGTATATACAGTATATATATATATATATTGCATCTTCAATACGTATTAGATGACGTATTGATGTGTAAGACGGGAACAAAATAAATTATAAATACTCTTCAATTCCAATTCTAGTTCCAAGTTTTGGAGCTATCAGGGCATTTTTTTTTTGTTCCTCCAAAACTTTATTTTTTTTTCTTGGCCTTGAAGAAAAGAAAAAAACTACCCTTAATTGGTCATAGTTTTTGTTCAGAAGAAAAGTTTTACTCTGTAAACGAAAGGTCTAAGGTTACGTTTACGTTCAAGATATATCTAGAGAGATACAAACGAATGTTTCCGATATTTGTATATACACGTAATCTTTTTTTTACTCAAGTAATTATATTTGACACGATACGAAATAGTAGAATAGTAGAAAAGTTTTGTGAAAAAAAAACACGTTTACTTTCACCACAAATATTAAAATGGCGCTAAAGGAAAATTTATATTATCTGAGGATATCTCAATTGGTGTCAGTTTTTTTGATACTTTTGTTAGGTAGACTTTTTTTATTTGCATTTGGTGATAAATATTATTCATTATATTATCTTGTGCGCTGATGATTTCTTCTTATCGAACAGAATTTATTACGGTTGTGGGATTCACAGCCAACTATAATGATGCGCCGTATGTGTCCTCTTCCTTTTAAGTGGATCGTTGACGTGAAGGTGCAAGAAGATATTTTTGACATTTGAAAATTTTTTTTCGATTACACTAGAACTCACGGTGCGAACTATTATTATTGGACGGCCTTAATATTTTCAAATCTATTTCTAGGTAATTCTTATTATAAAATCTGATTTTTTTCTTCCGAGTGTAAAGTCACTTCTGAAAAAAAAAAAAAATTATTATTTAGGACACTTACTTATAAGATTTCAACCTCGTTGGCGATATGGGCCCTATCGTGATGAAATGTTCTTTGATGGGTAAGACCAATTGCAAGATCTTCTGCGATACTGAAATATTTCTCACTTTTTTTCTCTCGTTTTCTAAAAAAAAAAAAAATACAGCTTTTTCCTTGCGGTTTGGTTATCTATTTGTAAGTCTATATTTCCTTACGGCACTATCATCCTCGTATATGATGTGATCTCACTCGTTTCTCTTCTTTGAAAAGGTCTCTTGAATATCTCACCAGCATTTGAGGGGGAATCTCTTTCTTGCAGCAACATGGTTGCCAGCCCGGCTCTCGCTCGCTGTCGCTTATTTTTATCAAATTTAGCGATTGCCTGGATATTGGTTCCTACATTTGTAGTTTCGTTATATATTTCAATTTCACGATGGAACCATCGAATGACTCCACCACCATCAACACCCATGAGCTCAGCGAATCCACCTCCCCCCAAGCCACATTCTCCACAAAAAGGGGTATTGAGAGATGGTTTTTTGGTCTTCAATGATAATAGCAAGAGCTCTGGCAAGCGAATGAGTCTATACAGTCATTCAAACAGATCCACACCTCATGTGAGAACCTTCTCCTGTCCAAATAGCTTTGGCAACTCCACTCCTAATCTTTTGAGTGACTCATCATCCACTGCCACCCAATATTAAGCACGTGATATCGACGCGAAGCAACAAAGAAACTTGAAACCTGTTTTGCTGCGTGCCATACACATTTTTTCATCCAATATTTTTCACATCAATATATCAATCACGAATCACGTCACCGATTAAAAGTGTTTTTTTATTTTTACTACTACTACTACTACTACTACTATTACTACTGCTAATATATTTTCTTTTAATACTTAAATACTAGGATCCCTATTTGAATAATATAAAATTTTCTTACTAAATCTTCTTGATCCTTCATCTTTAATTCAAGTAATTCACTTCTAGCAGTAGCTTTAGTACATTTTTATGTGTAAATACATGCAAATGCGGTGTCGTGACATGCAGTATATGATAATATATGATGTGCATACATTTTTTTTAAAAATTTTCACGGTTTTCGCGATGAAGATTTCAATATCATTATGTTTAACTGTAATCTTGTCGGCAATCTCCTTGCCCCCATATGGTTCTAAGAAACCATTTATTGTGCGTATCTATTCGTTCCGGTGATGAAAACAATCTTGGAATAGGAAAATCCTAACCAAACTTGTACTTTCTGACTTAGAATGGTTATATGAGATGACAAAAATTTACGCCATTTTTTTTACGCATAAACTATTTATGCGTACATGAGAAATGAAATTTACTTTTATGGGAATCGGTTCCACGTTCTCATTTTCGGCGCCAACCTTCATTTACACGTGTGCGCGCCTAATCCCATAATGCCCGAATTGGGATTGGCAGTTTGGCCTACATTTTGAGCGGAGAATTTTTGTGCAAACGTAAACAAAGCATTATTATTTATTATGGCTA